CAGAGTCCTGCTGGGCCTGGTGGTTGGACGGCTCATAACAGGTCTGGGACAACTTTCCCTCACTTACCTGACCCTGCACTGGCAGGAGAGGGAGCCCTTTTTCTGGGGAGATGGGGAAGGAGAGAGCCTGGATGGGGTCCTAGACCAAAACTTCTTTAGGCAGAGCTGAGGTCAGCGAGTCACAAGTGTCTGGAAAGTGGTAGTGTAACATTCCCGCGTCCACAGGAGCCTCTTCCTGGAATCCTAGAGCATATGATTTTTGTGGTGTGTGTGTGTGTGTGTGTGTGTGTGTGTGTGTGTGTGTGTGTGTACGTCTGTGTATGTGTGTTGGACCTTGGAAGTGCATGTGATAGGAGAGGACTAGTATGTGAAGAATTAGGATGCTCTGTGCTCTTTGATTCTTGTGGTAGCTGTGTCCTATGAAGTCTCACACACTGATTAGCTAATACTGCACCATTTTTCCTAGGGAAAATATGTATATATCTCATGTAGATTATAATCTTAAATCCAAAAAGCAACTCATCCTGGGAGATTCTATTTTCTGTAGTTTGCAAAAGAGCAAAGGAGGTTCAAAAGAGCAAAATGACTTGCCTGGGGCCACCCCACTAACACGTGCCAGGGTTGATATTCAAGCACCCCCCCAACTAGCCACAGAACCCAAGTCAGCCTGTCCTTTGAAGCTTTGAAGACACACATTAACTTCTCCTTTCTAGCTATGAAAGTCCTAGATGGCATCTTTTTCCAATATCAGGCTTTTCCGTCTACAATGAAAATCTGTTGTTTAGTGTAGCCACCTTCATTAATTACCTTAGCTAGATCTGCTGGGTAACATGCTGTAGCTTTTACATTAGCACTTGCTGCTTGACCTTGGTGTGTTATAGAGCTGGCACCTTTCCTTAAACCTCATGAACCTACCTCTGCTAGCTTCAAACTTTTCTTCTGTAGCTTCTTCACCTCTCTCAGCCTTCATTAAATGGAAGAGAGTTAAGGCATTGCTCTGGATTTGGATTTGGCTTAAGGGAATGTTGTGGCTGGTTTGATCTTCTATCCAGACCATTAAAACTTTCTTCATATTAGAAATAAGGCTGTTTAGCTTTCTTATCATTTGTGTGTTCACTGGAGTAGCGCTTTTAATTTCCTTTAAGAACTCTGCATTCATAACTTGGCTAACTGTTGGCACAAAAGGCCTACTTTTTGCCCTACCTTGGCTATTGACATGTCTTCCCCACTAACCCAAAACAATTGCAATAGTAACATCAAAGATCACTGATCACCATAAAAATATTACAATAAAGTTTGAAATACTGCGTAAATTGTCAAAATGTGACACAGAGATATAAAGTGAGTAAATCTGTTGGGAAAATAGCAATGATAAACTTGCTTGATAGAGTCACCACAAATATAAATTTGTAAAAAATGCCATATCTGTGAAACACAAGAAAGCAAAACATGATTTTTTTTTAAAGCATAGTAAAATGAAGTGTGCCTGTGCATTATATTGTTGAAACAGATTTCTGTCTTGAGTAACAAAACAATACATGGTGATGTTATTACATGATATCCAGAATGTGGAGGGCTAATTATACATTTTATATTCAAACAACAGGATAAAGGAAGGATACTAAAAGAAATATTTTATTGGTTTGTTTCCTACAGAGTTTGTAGCAAATACGGTTACAAAATTTATTGTGGCTGACAGGGCCCGGGCTAGTTGTGTACAGGCTGCCGTAGGGACCCTGAACCTGGACGAGGTTCGGGCCCACACAAGCTGCGGCCTTGGGCACTAGG